TGACTTTGGGCCAATCGAAAAGAGACAGTGAATTCTAGTCCTGCCTTAGGCATGAAAGCTGGGTGACTTTGGGCCAATCACCAGGAGATGGTGAGTTCTAGTCCCGTCTTAGCCATGAAAGCCAGCTGGGGGACTCTGAGCCAATCACCAGGAGACTGTGAGTTCTAGTCTTGCCTTGGGCATGAAAGCCAGCTGGGTGACTTTGGGCCAATCACCAGGAGATGGTGAGTTCTAGTCCCGTCTTAGCCATGAAAGCCAGCTGGGGGACTCTGAGCCAATCACCAGGAGACTGTGAGTTCTAGTCTTGCCTTGGGCATGAAAGCCAGCTGGGTGACTTTGGGCCAATCACCAAGAGACTGTGAGTTCTAGTCTTGTCTTAGGCATGAAAGCCAGCTGGGGGACTCTGAGCCAATCACCAGGAGACTGTGAGTTCTAGTCTTGTCTTAGGCATGAAAGCCAGCTGGGTGATTTTGGGCCAATCACCAAGAGACTGTGAGTTCTAGTCTTGCCTTAGGCATGAAAGCCAGCTGGGTGACTCTGGGCCAATCACCGGGAGACTGTGAGTTCTAGTTCTGCCTTAGCCATGAAATCCATTGGGCCAGTCCTTCTCTCTCTCTCAGCCCGGGAAGGAGGCAATGGCAAACGACTTTTGAAAAATCTTGCCAAGAAAACTTCAGGGGCTCATCCAAGCAGTCACCAGGATTGATTTAAAGGCACCAGATTAAATAAATAAAGCCCGGCCTGTGTATGTGGATGACAAATAGGGTTTCCTCCAGCGGTTTTAGTGAGGATTTGTCATAATTTTTGCTCCGTAAATCAAGCAAAAAAAAAATTATCTGTAAATAAAACACCCCTGGTGCACAGGCCATGGGCTGGTAACTAGGACTTGGTCCTTGGCATTAGATAGTTTAATTCCGTTTGTTTTACAACCTTAAATCAGGAGTGAGGACAGGTAGCTTTCAGATATTATTGAACCATAATTCTCCCAATGAGGTCCCAGACAGCGGTGGGGTTGAGAAGGCTGAGAATTATAATCCTTCACATCTTCTAAAGTGGCGGAGCCTCTCAAGGCCTAGTGTGCTAGTATTTCACAACCTTGACAACTTTAAGAAGAGTAGGAGAGTAGGGCAAGAAGGAGGAGAAGAGAGGAGAAGCGGGGGAGAGGGAGGGGAAGAAGAAAAGAGGAAGGAGAGGAGGAAAGAAGAAGGTAGAGAAGGGAGGTCGGGAAGAAAGAAGCAAGAAGAATTGGATTGGATTTATTACATTTATATGCTGCCCTTTTCCCCGAAGGGGACTCAGAAGAAGAAGGGTCGTTGCAATGTCAGACGGAGATGCGGGATGGCAATTGTGTTTTTTTAAAAAATATATTTTTAAGCAGATTGTAATAAATGCTAGACGTCAACAGATAAATGTTAATAGCGTTTATGAGGATTTATATTTGTGAATGTATATGGGAAGGAAAAAAAAGAAAACTTAAAAAAAAAGAAGTATGGACTTAAGGTTGAGAGTCACTGTTCTCTATTTGTACTGCCCAGTGGTAGGATTCAAAAATTTTTGCTACCAGTTCGGTGAGCGTGGCTAGGCTGGGGGGCGGGGAGCATGTGACTGAGTGGGTGTGGCAATATGACATCACTCATGCCCACTCGGTCACATGCCCCGCCCCAACTAGCCACGCCCACAGGAAAAGGTAGGAAACGTTTTAGGATTTTCCCCTATCTACTCCCGCCGTCCCTTCATAGTCATCCCCGTTTCCTCCCCCACAACCACCTCTTTGGTTGCTTCCCTTCCACGGCAGCTGATTCAGTCTGGAAGGCAAGCTGACCGAAGTTTTCGGCGGCCCCCATCCAGCCGCCGCTGCTGGGAAACGGCTGGCTGGCCAAGAAGCCGTCCAGCCGCCACCTCTGCATACCTGGTTGGTTGTTGTGTAGCTCAGAATGCTGGACTAGGTGGGCTTCTGGCTTGATGGGCCACCGGCTCTCTAAAGTTCTTAGGCTGCAACACCTCTACAGGTGGTCCTCTAGTTAGCCGAGGTGACGCAGTGGTTAAATGCAGCACTGCAGGCTACTTCAGCTGACTGCTGTTCTGCAGTTCGGCTGTTCAAATCTCACCGGCTCAGGGTTGACTCAGCC